TAGCAATAAAAAATTATGGTACTCTTGATAGATAGAATAATTTTATCTGCACAGACCTCAGTTTTGACAAAAATTATAACCGATTTTACACTGCATCGATGGCGTTGGACCAACTGTATGAGGTTTTATTACTTTCCCTAATGATTTGAGGGTTAAAATCTTTTTTAAAAAAGTAGGTGAGCATTATTGCCATAAATCTACTTATTACATTTTATTGCCAAAATTTATTTTCCTTTTTATTTTAATTTTTACAGATACAATGGTACAATGACCGGATATTGTGAGCAGCTAATAAAAATTTTTAAAATCACTAAAGTACCAATAAATTTTTTTGTATTGAGTATTTTTTCAAAATAATTACTGTTTCACAACTAATAGTAAAAATAACCACGAAGTAATAGAGAGGGGGCTGGAATATGAAACAAGTAGCTGGCCGATTTCCATAGTCTATAAAAAATCATCAATTTATATATACTTTTATTCATTTTTGTTAGCTTGGTAATGTGTGAATATTAAACAAGCTCGTTTACAAAGTTCAAAACATTTTAATCACGTCTTTTCTTATTAGTTTTGTTTAAGCTAGTAATTTTTTTAAAAAAAGAGTTGATTAATACCATGATTTGAATCACTTATTTTAATACTTCGATTAACACCGTGACTTAAATAATTGATTTTTATAATTTGATCAAAATCACTGGAGCATTGTCTTTGGAACTTTGTTTTTGCTTATTTACTTGTTCTTCCTTTCGTTTATAAATGAAGTACAATTTCTTGTGTAGTTTAATCAATTGCATTGCACAATATGTTTAAGCATATATACTTTTCATTGGAATTTCTGCACTGCATAGCCAAATCCTGTCCTTAACTGAAGATATATTGCGAAAATCAGAAGAGCTTTTACTCCAATAATCAGATTTTAATCATGATTTAACTAAAAAACTTAAATGTTCAATGCGTTGACCCTGAATAGACCATTATTACCATTGTTGTTATTGGTGTGTGATTCAAAACTATAGGGATAATGACGGGAAAAGTTTTCACCTTAAATTCACCAACATACATCCAAAATCCATTGTTATTGATAAAATCTGCCGGAAAATTTTATATTAATGTATTAAATATCAAATATTTTTATCAGGCTAGCTCTACTCTAGTAGTGCAGTTTTCTTAAAATATTTGTCAGTATTTAAAAAACGCATTCTTAAGCAATAAAAATAAGAATATTTTTCAAAACATTTCCTAGTAATTAATTGTATAATTTAAAAATAGTTTTCATTTTTAATGAAATTCCTTACAATACACTCATTATAAAACTCATTATAATATTCATATAATATCTCATTATAACATTCATAACTCATATAACTCATTATAATATTTATAGTAACAGAATTCAGTTCAAAAAATTATTTGAAATAATTAATAATTTTATCAATTTTAAGACGATTAAACATCTTAAAGAACTCTCAAATAACGTTAAAAGCAAAACATGAAGCACTAGATTTAAAGTGTGATACCCAGCTTATATCATGCATCTTGTAAGCCTCACTGACTGCAAAACATTGTAGTTTTTTTCAATTACATCTCTGGTAATATTTTAACACACAGTATTGAAACAGTTAAGCTAAATTTCTGAATCTCAAAAGGGAAAAGTACCAATTAGTTCTTTTAAACTATTTTCGTTCGAATATTTATAACTTATAAAAGGACAAATTCTGTTCTAAAATGAATAAAAAAAACTAAACTTTTGGAACTTATCATTTTACCCTGTTGCTCAAACAATCAAAACTCAATCTTAAGAACTCAATATTGTTACAAATCAAGCTTTAAGCATTAAAAATAAAACAAATCGCTAAGAAATCCGATTATCAATTTGAAGTCGTAAAATACCACAGTTTTCTTCAAATATGCGTAGCGAATAATAAAAATATCAAAAAATAACTCGTTCATAAAGCTTTAAAAATAGTTTTAAGAAGGAGAAAAGGCAAAATATTAGATAGAGAAAGAAACGGGAAATTAATTAACAGGGACGAGACATAATGTATTTTTTAAAAAATATATTTCGTAATAATCCATCAGACGACCGATATCGATCTGAATGCGAAGAATTTAAATACCGTTACAAAGTAAACCTTGAAGCATTGGACTTATAACAAAAGCATTAAAGAAGCCTGGCTGTCTGCCTAAGTCTTATATCTACTTAAGAGAAAGGCAATTAGACATCTGGAAAATTTTGACTTTCATCTCACCTATTCCAAGCAGACGATTTTGTCTAAGTGAGCCTTCCTTTCTAGCTTAGAGCTCAAATATTCCATCCGCCTCACACTGTTGCCAAATATTTAATGGAATATTCGGTACGTAAGTTTTAGAGGGGAGGGTAAATTTGCCATCATTTCGTTACATTACCCAGAAACTCTTCCAAGGGGTATGGAATAATAAATCACAATTTCCCGGTTATTGTAGTTGAAGGTTGAGTTGGATTAGAATTCTAACTATGTTTCCCACTTTCTTTATTGGTTGGTCGGCAAAGTTTACTCTTTAACTATTGCTAAATGCTAACTTCTGCGAGATGGAATTAAACATTACTTGATTTTCGAATTCTCTGATTCCAGTAAATAGACCTTATGTTGAGGAAACAAGAATTGGTGCCGAAAATGTTTGAATTGTAGAGACATTTCGGTCTCACTATTGTTTGAATTGTTGAACAACGAATCTGTATGAAATACTCAATTTTAAACTTAGATTTATTCTGTTAGTTAATTAAAGAAAGTAAACGACAAATTAAAAAAGAATTTTATAAGGTTAAAAAATATTAAATAAAGTTAACATCCTTATAATTTCAGCACTTTATCAAATATATTAAAATATGTAAACAATTATTAATAAAGATAACACTACACACTTTATTGATTAATAGTTTAAAAACGTGTGGACGGCATGCCCAAGTAATATATATATTTTCATTTATTAAGTAAATTTTCTATCTAAAAGTATTTTTATATATTTTTCATATTATGTTAATTACGCAGTTTTTTCCTGTTGGTACTATAATACAGTACCACAACAACTTTATAAAATATGTAAGTTAAGGGTGATAACTATAGTTGTACGTTAATTACATAGGTATGGTATGGTACGGTATTTTATTTACGCTGCACTAGATCTGCACAATGGGCTATTGCGTTAGTTATATAATGTGAAAATAGTGTCCTATAGTAAATATTGATTCAATGAAAATTTCTTGACATTAAAAAAGAAAGAGTTACTACATTAAAAAAGAAATCAGGCCAATCTCAGGCTCAGATTTGTAGAGAGTTCAATTTAATGCCCAGCGTCGTGTGTAACTTATGGAAACAGTTCCAGGATACCAGAACCATCAAAAGAAAGCCTCGGCAAGGTCGTCCAAGGACCACGACGGCCAGAGAAGAGAACCCGTGTATCAAGGGTGACTGTTTCCAAACGACTTCATAAGAGAGGGTTGTTTGTAAGAAGCCCTGCTGTTTGCGTCCCGCTCACTTCTACGAACAGGAAAGTCCGTTCAGCAGAGTGCAGAGAGATTGGAGTATGCATCAATGGGAGACCGTTCTCTTCACTGATGAGTCCCGGTTCAGCCTAAACACCGATTCCCACTGTATGTTCAGGTGGAAAGAACCAGGGATCCGCTACCTACCCTCCAATGTCCGTGAAATCGACCATTACCGTGGAGCAGATTTAATGGTTTAAGGAGGCATCATGTTGGATGGCCACACATCTCTCCATGTCTTTGAACATGGCTCTGTGACTGGTGCAGGGTATAGGGATGAGGTCTTGGAGCCCTATGTTCACTTTTCTAGGGGTGCAGTTGGCCCTGAGTTAATTTTAATGGGCGATAACGCGAGGCCACAAATAGCTCTTCTGGTTGACGAATTTCTAGAGAGTGAGGATATTCGCCGGATGGATTGGCCAACCAGATCTTCAAACCTCCACCCTATAGAGCATGTCTGGGGCGCTCATCGGAGAGCAATTGAAACTCGCAACCCCGCTCCAAGAACCATCCAGGGAATGAAAACAGCGTTGCTGCCCGAGTGGGACTAATTTCCACAGGAAATTATAAATTGCCTTATTTGTAGGAAATTTCGCTGCAGGTCTGTATATCTGTAAGAGGGGACCATACCCCTATTAACCCTTTTTTTTTGTTTATTCAGCAACCGCTCTTTCATACCTTCCGACTCCAACTAGTGTTACGTACAATCATGTGTGTGTATTACAATTGACGAATGGTTATTTGCTCTGGATTATATCAATTTCATTAAAATCGGCTCCGTAGTTCTAGAAATAATCGACCAGGTCTGCAAATTCTCTTAATTTCTTACACCAGTGTGTTATTAGATTCCTACAAATCAAAAAGTAAGTTGCGAAAGAAGTTCCTCTGAAAAATTAGAAACATTATCTTAATTAATAAATTTTTTTTTATTTACAAAATGTGTAAAATTCGTCTGTTTTATCATAACTGAAAACATAATTAAATGTATTATCTTTCGAATGAAACAGAAAGGTTTTTAATTTAGTTATTCCGCCATGTATAAACTTGGTTTCGTTTTTTTCGCCGTATTATGCTGACACTTAGAATGCTCTTTTCTATCAGATCGATTTCTAAACTTTTTTCAGTCCTTTGAAGCGATCTGTCTCAAATTCCTAATCAAAGACAACTAGATTAAATAGATAACTAGAGATTTTGAATGCATGTATTTTAGTTATTATAATATATATATGTATATANTATGCATACATATATATATATATATGGAACCACTTAACCTTGGAATCACTTAAATTTATTAAAATGTTTGACTAATTAGAGATTTTACGCCAAAATTTATAAACTATGTTTATTAAAACCATAATTACCTCTCTAATAAAAATTACGAAATATGCATACCTAATTGACTTAATTTTTTTTTTTATAATTTTATTCTTTTCAAAACAAGATTAGAAACTAATATTAGAAATATGTTGAATTACAGGTTTGAAATCAGCTTTGAATTCATGGATCTTAAGCTCTTAATGACTTTAAGTCTTATAATTTAACTTGAACATGCCAAAGATTTTCACCTCTTTGTTATTCACTATCTATATCATAGGTAAGTTTACTGAAAATTTTATATCATTATAAGTTTTAGCTCTTTAAAACATATTTTGAAGCTCTTAGTAGCAATATATGTTAATTTTACTCTGTAATGTTGTTGTTGTTGTTCATTTACGTCGCACTAGAGCTGCACAATGGGCTATTGGCCACAGTCTGGGAAACATCCCTGAGGATGATCCGAAGACATGCTATTGCAATTTGGATCCTCTGCAGAGGGGATGGCACCTCCGCTTCGGTAGCCTGACTACCTGCACGCGAAGTCGAGCAATTTACGGTAGAACAGTTTAGCGAGGATCCATACCGCACACCCTCGGTCCCTACACAGGCTGATCCAAGTGGTCACCCACCCGCACACTGACCGTAGCCAGTGATGCTTGACTTCGGTGATCTGCTGGGAACCGTGTTTTAACGATCAGTCCACTGCGGGACTTTACTCTGTAATATTTTTTTCAAGAAAAAAATCTAATTTTGAAACTTTTGAAACGTTAGTTAAGATGCACATAATATAAGTTTTATTTGTTTTAACAACACTTTATTGGAGTGCAAAGAAATGAACTTGTAAAAGGATATTTAATTGTCATTGAACATATTCTTTAATGTAACATGTTCTTTATAAGTAACGCGTTCACATTTTAAGGTTACTAAATTTTATTTTATTGAAGACTTTTGAAATAACACTTTCGAAATTTTGTTGAAACTATCTTAACAATTTTAGCATGGTCTAAAGCAGTGTTTCCCAAACCCCGGTCCGTGGACCGGTACCGGTCCGTAGACCAAATAGTACCGGAACCCTCATTTAATTTAAACTGAATTTAAATTCCTAGGTTTATACCCCATATTAAAAATATCGGTGTTCCATTAAAATTTTATTTATTTAAAATAAGGGGGCCCTCGAAGGTAGTGACATAAATTTTTCAATGTTTTTAATGTATTATTGTCTCCGATTACCCCCAGATGGAACCGTCCCATTTCATTGTAAAGAAACAAGCTCAGGGTTCTCATTGATTTAATGTTCTAGTAAGTTAAAATGTTAAATCACTATATATTTATTTTTTCGTGTAACTGTATTTTATTTTGAAGGCATGTTTAAATACAGTTAAATTAAAATTAATAAATCAAAATAATCTTAAATATAAACAATAAACGTCCCCCCCCCCAGCGGACAGCGGTAAATTTATCAAACGTAGACAGATCCGCGGTGATAAAAAGGTTGGGGAACACTGGTCTAAGGATAACTTTATAAGATATATTGCTAAACTTCATTTGCATTATTGCAAAGCTGAAGTGTTTAGTGAAATGACGAGTTAAGGTCTGGTTTCTTAGGACAAGCGCCTTATCTGGGCGTCAGCGGAAAGTTGACGTAGAGCTGACGCCAAAAAAATACTTTTTTGTTAGCTCAGCGTGAGCAGTCGGTTCAACGCAGACGTTATCTCTCATTGCGCATGCGTTAATAATGTAAACAAATATTTATTTTGAATTTGTATTGATTTTGTTATTGTCGACCAGTGTTTTAGAGAACAAATAATGATTTTTTCCAAGAAAAAACACATTATAGCTGAGCTAAATGAAGAGTGTCATGTTTAATGAAGAGGCTATGTTTAATGTAAAAATCAAAATCTTGGCTGATTTCAATGTGTTGTTGGATGTTGTCCGCCATTGCTTCTGCGGTTAACGTCACGTTGTAATCCAACTGCAGTTGAGTTGGACGGAAATTGTAGTTCAAGATGAGCGTTCGATGACGTATACTATCAAACTCACAAATGGACCAATCAGAGGTTAGCGCTGATTTTCAGCTGACGGCGTCCTGTCCTAAGAAACCAGGCCTTAAGATTTACATTTTATTTATTTAAAAAAATTTATTTTAAACTGCTTATTAACTCTAAGAACTTATTTATGCATTATATTTCCAGATTGAAATATTCTAGATATTGTAGATCAAAATACTATTTCATAATTATAATCGATCACAACATGTTCTAAAATCTGAAAACATATGTGGATTTAAAATGTTAAACAAGTTCTCTCCTTGAATTTTTTAATTAAAAAAGACACGTTGTAGGATTTCAATCCTATAACTGAATCATATTTCTAAATTTACGACAAACTACGTGCTAATAATTTTCAAAATGGTAGTGTTTCCCCAAGTGCTTCCGCAAACTCTTCGGCTAAAAATGATACATTATAACTATCCGACTAAATAATTCATCCAATAACTACATGTAATTAAATCTGTTATATTTCCGTAAACAAATACAATAAGAATATGTTATTAAATCTGAAAAATTTATTGTAGTCGAAATTTCACTTAACAAGATCTTCCCCCAAACGTTTAAATTAAAAATGATATATTATAATTTTTCAACAAAATAATTGAATAGTTATAATTCAATAATTATGTCTGAACAGTTTGTAATCAAATTCGAAAATCCAAGTAAATACGAATTGTCACTTAAGCTCTTCCTCAAACTCTTTTTTTCCAATTGAGATAAAAACAATTGTAATCATTCAATGAAAAAATGCAGTTGCAATTTTTTTTATTCTAAATTTATTGAAAATAAAAATTTTTTTATCGTGGAAAAAACTCAAAATGATCATATGTGTAATAAACACAGTTAATATTTTCATTTATTTTCAAATATTTCATTTATTTTCAGAAATGACATATTGTAATTTTTCTACAAGATAATTGAATAGTTATAATTCAATAATTATGTCTGATCAATTTGTAATCAAATTCGGAAATTCAAGTAAATACGAATTGTCACTTAAGCTCTTCCACAAGCTCGCTTTTTCCAATTGAGATAAAAACAATTGTAATCATCCAATGAAAAAATGCATTTGCAATTTGTTTATTCTAAATTTATTGAAATTTAATTATTTTTTATCGTGGAAAAAACTCAAAATTATCATATGTGTAATAAAAAAAGTTAATATTTTCATTTATTTTCAAAAATTTATGAAAAATGTACTTAAAATCAATATATAAGAATGTATATTTTATCATTTATTACGCACTTATTTTTAATCCAAACACCCGAAGCAAAAATTGAAAAAGCAATTAGAAAAGTATCATTTTTTAAGTTAGAAAGTGTTATTAAATTTTGCTGTATTCTGATATAAATCGAATCAATTATTAAAGTTGAAAATTTAAGTAGTCTTAAAATGTCCCATTAAAAGCTTCTCCACGAAGCTCTTTACTTAAAACCGATCCACTATGATTATATAGCAAAGTAATTGAATTACCAGTTTTTCTTTCTAAATTCTTTTAATTTAAATTTTGATTTATTGTGAAATAAAAACGTAACAGGCAAAAAAAAAATTTTTTTTTTGCTTTAATGAGAAGATGTGTAAGAAAAGCGTAATTATTATCAAGAACAACAACGCCCCAGAGTATAAGCAAAATGTATTAAAAAGAAACTATGGACTAGAGAGTATATTTCATCCTCTATAAAAATGTTTTTAATCAAAACGCAAAAAGCAAAACTTGAAAATGCATCTTGAAAAGTATCCTTTTTAAGTTAAAAAGTCTTAGCTTCAATTTTAATTGGATTTTCATTTTGTACGTTGCTGTAATTGAATATGTATACCCCTTCGGGAAATAAGCTTTGAAAATATTATCTTCTTTTTTTTCATAAATTTAAAAAAAAGAAGTTGCAGCTACTTTAATCCATTGCTACGTAGGTAAAAAAATTTATTCAAAACTTGTTTCTATTTTACGGTATTTACATTTTACAATCCACTTATACTAATTCAATGCAGGGAGATTTTTAAACTAAATTCTAAAAATATCATTAAAAGCCTAGTCGTGGAAGTACCTTAGTGATTATTTAAACTCTGGTAAAAGTAAAAACGGAACAAACACGCATCAAAAGAATTTTTAAAAACATGGTTATTAAGGTCGAACAAATCTTCTGATAATGCCTTAAAATTCGTAAATTTCTATAGCGAGTCTTGTTAAAATATTTTTCTTTAAATAATTAGGTATTACTGAGTCTAAATAGAAACCCGTGGGGGATTTCCTTATGAAATAACAGTTTAGTTATAAGGCTATTTGCTAAGTTATATTTTATATTATTACAAAAGAGCAATGTTTATTAAAAAAATAAATAAAAACTGTTTTTAAATATGCATACTTGCAGTACAAACCTTTTTTTTTAAAAATTCTTTAGAGATTGTTTACTTTTGAGCAAGAATGTATTGTTTCAAGTAGTAAATTTTGAAAGATGTTATAGGTGCAAAAAATTATTCCCAAATTCACATGCAAACAATATAATTAAGGAATGTATATAAGGTTATATTTATTACATACATTTTAGTTAAAAGAAAAGAATATCTTCTATAAATGAAAAAATATTTCTTTCGTATTTATTATTACTGTTATTAAATTAAAATGTAATTTTTTTTAACCAGCGAATCGATAAAGGAAAACAGTTCGGAAACATATTCTAATTTGAGTCATTTGAACTGTTATGACTGAATTTTGAAAAGAATAGGCGGGATGTAGAAAAAAAAAATATTTATCACAAAATATACACTTGCTTAATTTTAAATTATCAAACATTAAGTTTTGTATTTTCAAAACAAAGATAAAAAAAATATTCTTTGTTCCTTCTTTTGTGTTTCAAAAAAAAATTTTTTTCCTCTTTTTTTAATTGCTTTTTAAAGATTTTTTGTGATAAATAAATTATAAATATATTTTTTTAAAAGATTATTATCGGCTTAGATGATGTTCTACTCTCTTTAATTCAGTTTTTCTCAATATCCGCATCGTTTCCTCAATAGAAACACTATGGTCACAGTTTTCCAGCTAGTAGAGTTGTAAGCGGTATATAAACTTAGCATATGAACTTAAACGCTTAAAGTTATTCTAAAAAACTTAAAAGTTTTTCTCTTTTCTTTTAGGCATGGCATGGAGTAAAAGTGTTCAAGTGACAGACCTCATAGTACCCTCTGCTGCTGTGTTAGGTGATTCGGTGACTTTAGAATGTAGTTATGACTTAGGTACTGAAGAACTTTACGTTGTTAAATGGTACAAGGATGATATAGAGTTTTATAGATATGAGCCGAAAGATGATAACCAGTCCATCTATTTTCCTCAGCCTGGAATTGATATTGACGTAAATATCACTACAAAAATAATTCTTGAATATTTGGTAAAATATGTCAATGTAATGATGCATTAAAATTTTGATCAAATAATGCCCTTCAGCTGATTTTAGAAAACAGAACTTCATAATTAAGTTTTTAAATCATGAGCGCAAGCAATGCACTTTTTATCCGAACGAAAACACCGTGACCAAAACAAAACAGAGAAATATATATACACTCTATAACAAAAAAATCGACGCTCGATCAGACTGGAATGATGCAGACTGGGGACGTATAGTCTTTAGCGACGAATCCCACTTCCAACTGTGTCCTGACGATCATCGACGACGTGTTTGGAGACGCACAGGGTAGAGGAGGAATCCAGCCTTCACTATTGCACGCCACACCGGCCCTCAACAAGGCATTATGGTCTGGGGTGCCATTTCCTTTGACAGTCGGACCCCTTTGGTCGTCATTAGAGGTACATTTACTGCACAGTGGTACGTCGATGACATCCTAAGACCTGTTTTTTTACCGTTCCTTTTGCAGGGCCCTGGGGCTGATTTCTCAGCAGGACAATGCCAGACCACATACGGCACGTGTTGCTAGGAACTGTCTGCAAGCTTGTCAAACTCTTCCTTGGCCTGCCAGATCACCAGATTTTTCTCCGATCGAGCATGTTTGGAATATGATGGGAAAGCGATTGCATCTGGCACGGAATGTTGATGACCTCGTTCGACAATTGGACCGAATTTGGCAGGAAATACCGCAAGAGACCATCCGGGAGCTTTATCGGTCTATGCCACGCCGTGTGGCAGCTTGTATCCAGGCTAGAGGCGGGTCAACACCTTGTTGAACTTGTTACTGTAACTCTGCAATAAATTATTCAATTGTTCTGAAATTTTAATCATTTACTATTCTGTACATTGTCGTCCTATCCACCAATTTTCGTTTCAATCGGACAACTCTTTCTTGGTGCGTCGATTTTTTTTTATAGAGTGTATATATAGTATAATAAATAAAAACTAAATAGCACGAAGAATATTAAGAAAAACAATACTATTTACTATTACTATTTACTATTACTATAACAATACTATTTACTATTACAATACTATTTAATTATTATTTACTTTTATGCGGATATAGTCGTGTGAACTGATAGAAAGATTATATCCTTTATTTTCCGGATTTTAATTTTTTTTTCTTTTCCGGTTTTTTGTTATTTTTTTATTATTATCATTTTTCTTTTTTTTCCCCCTTTCTTCATTGTTTTATAATTTTTCCCTTGTTTTCTCTACATTTTGAACTATATGTACATAAATTTTTCAATTATAACTCTTTTCTTGTTTTATCTATCAATAGAAGAATTAATCCATAAATGCGCATATTAATTTGAGAGATACAGAGGAAGAGAATTAATTATCTACTCATAATTACAGATTATTTGTATCTTTTCCTAAAATAATAGACGTTTCCAACACTCTTTCTCAATGCTTAAATTTTTAAAATATCTTTTAAAATGCAAATTCATTTGATTTCACACATGATTTTGTAATTTAAGAATGGTAATAGAGAAATAGAGTAACTTTGTTTTTTACAAAAAGTAAGACATTTAAAAAAAATAAAAAAAATTACTCTTCGTGTGTATTTAAATTACTCTTCATGTGTATTTAAATTACTCTTCGTGCGTAAATTACTCTTCGTGTGTCTTTTAAACTATGATCTATATTGTTTTTAACTAGGACCTTATTTTGGCAAAAATGGAACACTAAATATAAAAGCTATATGTAGTTTGGAAAATGTTGCCGAATCACTGTTTTCGAATTTACAAATAAAAATTTTTTTTTAGTTAAATGTCCTAAAGTTATTTTTGATTTTATTAGCTAGAAAAATCCAACAGCAACACTGTTTTCCTGAGAAACGTTGCTTTGAATTCCGCTGGAAATTACAAATGTCAAGTATCAACAGATGCACCCACCTATAGTTGTGTGCAGGCTGTAAAAGAAATGAATGTCATAAGTAAGTAGCAAAGGAGTTATCAGTGCTGCTCTTTAAGTTGTTACATTGTATTTTTACATTGTGTTTTCAAAATATGATAAAAAAAATAAGGCATATTTGTCACTAAAAAATTTTTATTAAAAAAAATATATCAAGTGCTGGTAGACTAAAGCAAAAGAAGAAATTGAATAAAGTTTTTTTATTTCCAATGAGCTGCACAATCCGTCTTGCCGATGAGCAGACCTAGTGCGTTCTCCAGAGGTGGTATCCACTCTTTCAGGACCACCACAATGGGTGAGATACCGTTGGTCATGTTAATTTGGACGTCTAGTTTCTGCCACACTAGATGGCAGTACCGAGACTCTATTTGGATGCTAAAGTGCACTAGGAATTTAATTTTGCCGGAATTGAATAAAGTAAGTGATGAAGAATGAAGTATTAAACCACTATGATGTTATTAAATTATCATTATACAATATTTCTTTTCCATTTTGCAAATTTTATTGAGTTATTTTTTTTTCAGAATCTAATAAATGCTTGATATATTTAACGAGGATGGAACACAACAGCCGAAAAATGTACTCGAAAAACTCGAATAATATTAAGCAGTTGTGTTGTTAGCTCATTATTATGATAATTTCCACTTTAACTCGAGTAATTCAGTAATCAGCTTCAAGCAGGTTTTCATCTGAATTCCTTTGTCGAAAAAGAGGAAATTTAAATTTCCTTTTGTAGCAAAATTTCATGGCTGGGAAGTGATTTTAACTCACAAAAAAAGTGTTGAACTAATTTTGATAATTTTTGAAAAAAAAAAAAAAAGAAAAGGCGATGAAATAAATCGCAATGCTATATATATGTATATATATATATATATTAACAAAATTAATATATATACTTAAAAAAAAATGAAAAAAAAAAAAATATGCAAAAAAAAA